AAGAAAAGAAAAGAAAAGTCCTGCTTTTGAGCTGCTCTGACCTTTAAAGTGACCTTGACCATGACCCTAATCTTTAGCCTTGCTGTGACCTTGGTCCTGACCCTGATCTTGATACTGACCAACATTCTGACATCTCACCCTAAGTTTTGGCTTAGTGACTTTGAACTTGAGTTCTTCCTTGAAAGTTATGTTGACACTGACCCTGATCCTCACCTTGAACATCATTCTGATCATGTTGTGGTTTCATTTTGAACTTGTTTTTGAACCTGACCTTGACACTTTCTTCTGCCTGACCTTGAAATAATCTAACTTATTAATCCTGCCGTTGTACTGACAGTGACCTCCTTTGATCTTATCCCTGAACTTAACCATCCTTTGGACACAGACAATCATCCATACTTTGACCCACCCCAATGCTAAAATGATCTTATCTTTAAAAATGACCTTGATACTGTGTTTCTTATTCTCACTCTTACCTTCATTGTGGCCCTGATGATCATCAACCTGACCTTGACCCTGATTCTGACCATGACTGAAACTACCAGCATCTCCCAGGTGCCACTTTATTCTTTTGCATTGCCTCATCTTATGTATGTCCTGTATCCATTTGCTAGGACTGTCATAACAAATATCAGACTGTATGGCTTAAGAAGTGGAAATGACTTTTCAAGTTGTCAACAAAGTTGTTTCTTTTTAGGCCTCTCTTCTCCCAGTGTCTTTACATGGTCTTCTCCTTTGTACCTTTCTATGTCCTAATTTCCGCTTAGAAGGACAACAGTCACAAGATTCGGGCCCCACCCATATGACCTCATTTTACATGAATTATCTTTTTTTTTTTTCCTTTTTGTCTTTTTTCGTGACCGGTAACGGGATCGCAACCCTTAGTGTTGCGCCCGTACCATGCGACCGGCAACGGAATCGCAACCCTCGGTGTCACACCCTCACCGTGCTCAACCAGTGAGCGGACCAGTCTCTATATGGGATCCGAACCCATGGCAGGAGCACCACCGCGCTCCCAAGCGCCGCACTCTACTGAGTGTGCCACCGGGCCGGCCCGAATTATCTCTCTTTTTTTTTCTTTTTTTTTTTTTTGTCTTTTTCTG